ACCAGCTCAGATTAATCAGGCAGGATAGGCTAACAGTAGTCATAGGGGCTGAGATTCTTGGGTGCTCCCATGATTTCAGAGGAGACACTTCTACTGTTTCACATTTCCTTTATGGATTTTGCATAAAATTGACAAAAATTTCATGGTCTGAGGCCACCCCACCAGTCCACTGGCCAGAGGAAGACTATATGTTTTATGTATATATACACGTGTGTGTGGTGGGACTCTGAAACCTCAGGGGAACATCCTCTGTGAAGCCCCCCGCCCCACCCCCGTGGCATACCTTCACGGGTAAACAGAGATTGCTCAGTCCACGAGGACTGTTTGTGTATTTACTGGTGAGGGAGAAAAGGATTAAGAAGTGATGCAAACAGCCTCGTCTTTCTCCCTCGGGGCAGCTGGTGAGTTTGAAATGCCTACCTTGCGGTTAGCAGCCCAGCGCCTAACCCACCAGGCTCCTAATGAGCAAAGTGGGCTCCCAGCAATGTTGAGTAAGTCAGGGTGCACACTGCCGCCCAGGGAACACAGTTACAATGAGCTCTTCCTGTGGGAGCTTGTTCCTTCATTCCAGGGAGGCAGGCCCCCAGTGGAAGCTACCATGAAAATCACTTATTTCAACTCGGTCCAAACAGCGATGTTAAAACTCACTAACCGTCTTCCCCTTGGACCCTTTTTCAAAGGCCGCTGATGAGCGCTTGCTGCCTCTCCCCAGCGAGTCAGTGGAGTCGCAGCGAGCGACCGGAGCGGACAGCCTTTGAAGCTGTGCGGCAGTTGGGGCTTCTCCAAGAACGGGGCCTGCGCTTTAAATCATCCCGCTTCCTGCTCGGGACCCATGTCGAGGGCACCGCCCTCTTCTGTTCAGTCATTGAAACTCACAGCACCCCCAAACTGCCTTTCTCCCTGGAACAGACGCGAAGCCCGGATGGCACCTCTGCTCCGGTCTGCCTCGACCTTTCAGGATGGACACCCCTCCCCTTGCTGGGGACCCTGCCCACCACGCCTCGCCTCGCCTCAGGGGCTGTTGTGGTTGCTGTGAGGGGCCCGCCATCAGTTCAGACCCGCAGCACAGGGTGGGACAGCCTGGACAGACCGATGCTCAGTCACAGGGTCCCAAACCCATTTGCCTGGTGCCTGCTTTTCAGAACAAATGAAAGTGAGTCAGCAGCCCCCCAGTGAAGGTTTCCGCTCTTGCAGCCCCCCCCCCTGCCACACACACACACACACACACACACACACACACACACACACACACACACACGCGTCCGCCCACCCCCCAGCAGGGGGCGGTGTCGCCCACTCTGGGAAACACTGTCAGGCTTTCAGCGACCTAGCTCGCTCTCACTGCCGTCGAGTGGAAAACTAAGGCACAGGAAACCATGGAGCCGATAGAGATCCACTTTCACAGTCTCTGTGTGAAGCCCTGATGGCGCACCTGTTATGCGTTGGGCCGCTAACCGGAAGGTCAGCAGTTCGAAAGCACCAGCCGCTCTTCAGGAGAAAGATGAGGCTTTCGACACCTATTAAGAGTTACAGTCTTGGAAACCCACGTGGGCAGTGCTACCCTGTCCTATTGGGATTGACTCGATGGCAGTGAGTTTGGTTTGGGGGTGGAGTTCACATTCCCAGCTACGACTATACACCGATTGACAGTAAAGTAAAACTCATGTTTTTCTTTTTTTGACCTTAAATCCGGAATTGTATCAGTTTTCCATTCAATAGTTCATACACATTTTTCCACCTCCATTCCCAACCCTCTGCACTCTGTCCTTGGGGAAATGCCTCCCTTTGGATCCCAAACGGGTGATTCTCCTAAGGCGTGTGTACCTCATACATGTTAGGAGTCCTCTTACACACCCTCTACCGCTGGCTGGAAATGGAGCTGGGGAGGTGAGTTCTGAAGGGACACTAGGCCCTTGATCTTGGGGGTTCCACCAGTCTCTATCCAACCAGTGAGGATGGTTTGTTTGATTTTATGATTTTTGAGTTTCGTTCTACGTTTCTCCTATTCTATCCAGGACGCTGTCACATGGTCCCTTTCCGAGCAGCTGGTGGTGGTAGCCAGGCCCCGGTGAGGTCCTCCGGCTGTCAAGACTGGTGTTCACATGGCCCATACGTCCATTAGACGAACTGTTCTCTCAGGAATCTCCCATTTTTATTACTCTTCTCCTCTCTGAACACGAGAGACCAACAGTTTCCCCTTAAACTGCTGACCGCCGGCTTTTAAAACTCCAGCGACTACTCACCAAAGCTGTTTTCCTACAAGGGACGATGGTCCTAAGTTCCCAGGCCTAGTGACTCATTCCTCGAGGCACCTGGTTATGTATGAGACGCTTTTATCGCTTTGCCTCCTGCATGCTCCACCACATTCATGGTTTTACTTGCAGCATTAAATGGCCATGTACAGATATACTTTATCAAAAACATAGATATATGTATGTCCCCACTCCCAAAGCCTGTGTGTCTCTCCGCAGCTAAACTTCCTGACTATCACGGATCTGATTATTCTAGCATAAGTACACTATGCTTTTAAATACAGTCATTTTTATATGTTTCATGGTCTGGTATAAGTCCCCTCTTGTGCTTTTACTTACTGGATTTTTCCTGGATGGCTTAGTGGCTAATGCATTGGTTTGCTAACTGTGAGATTGGTAGTTCAAAACCACCAACCGCTCCTCGGGATGAAAGATGAAGCTTTCTACTCCTGTAAAGACTTAGTCTCAGAAACCCACAGGACGGTTCTGTTCTGTCCTATAGGGCAGAGTGCTTATGACTCAAAAGCAGCTCCATGACAGCGAGTTTGTTTAGTGGGGGGGTTACTTATATGGGAAACCCTGGTGGCACTGGGGACAGGTACTCCAGGAGAAAGAGGAGGCTGTCACCGTGAGCCAGCAGCGACTTAACGGCGGTGAGTTTGTTAGTCTGGGGCTATTCTTGTACAGCCACCAGTGAAGACTTCAAAACCATTTTACTAAGTAAGCAAATATAAATAAAACTAAAGGTATCGCTCAAACCACGTCCACTGCCATCGGGCTGACTCCAGCTCACCGTGCCCGCCCCAGTGCTGGGGAAGGAGGCAGTACCTGGTTTCTGGGTCCAGGGCATCCATGAGCATTTTGTCAGCGAGTAATCGCTGCAGACTTTGGTATAATTCCACATTGGTGTTCAATCTAAAAAAAAAGAAATTAACAAATGAAAACTTTTTTTCTAGTATCCTTTTTTTTAACTCTCCATCAAAGAGCACAGTCTCTACTCTGAGCACGGACAAGCTCGGGTGCCTGCACACGCTAGGACGCTCCACACCACGGAGGGCCGATGGGGAAACACCATGCGGTGTGGATGGGTTTGGGGAGCACTATGCAGGGAGAAGTTAGTCGTTGACAAAATGACAAATGTTGCGTGAGGCCACTGTTAGGAAAAAGAAAATTCAAACGGAGGTTTTCATTCCGTAAGAAGCGGCCTTTGGTGGTTACCCGGGCGGGAGGGGAAGGGAGGAGAGGTAACAATAGAGCAGGCGTTTCCCAAAGAGGCGCACACTGCCCCCCGGGGGCAGTGCTGGAACACTGCAGGGAGGGCCCCACGGCTGAGGCTCCACTTCATCCTGGATTATGGGCTATAGCACTGTTTTTCATTGCCAGGGGGGGCGCTGAGTAATTTTTTTTTTTCTTGATAAGGGGGCTGTAGGCCGTGTAAGTTTGGGGACCCAGAGCGGCCCAGGGGCCTGCAGACTGCAGCTCATGGGCCAGGCCATACGTGGCTCTTTCAGTATATACATGTAGCTCTGAAGTAAAGTCGAAAATGAACGTAAACCCAGCATAGCTTCATTTATAGGATATCATTCAAACAATGGGGATTTCATTTGTGAAAATACATGGATGCCTCTCAAACAAAACTGACTGTTTTAACTTGTGGTGAAGGGCAGGATTGGCTCTTCTGTCTCAGAAGTCTGCCGACCCTGGGGCTGGAGGGTAGACAGGTGTTAACCTGGGTGAGGGGGAGGATGATATTCTATAAGAGACAGGAGAAAGAGGGCGGCGCAGGGGGAGCTATTGGGAGGTTTGATAAGTTGTCTAAAAATGATCTGAAATGTGAACGCCACCTACTTCACAAAAAACTTTAAAAAAAAAAGGTAGTGTCCACACATGCTCGGGGTCCAGCAGTTGAGGCTCGGTCTTTGTTTTCTTTTCGAAACCAAGGCGCCCTGGAGCTTAGTGGGTTACGTACTGGGCTGTTAACAACAAGGGCAGCGGTTCGAAGCCACCAACAGCTCTCTCTGAAGGAGGACGATGACGCTTTCTCCTCCTGTAACGACTGACAGCTCTGGAAACCCACAGGGGCAGTTCCACCCCGCCCTGTGGGGTTGCTGAGCGTCGGAATCCACTTCAGGGCAGCGGGTCTGTTTGGGCTCACAAACGGATCTTAGTCCGCACGGGAAAAAGCAGTCGAGTGGGCAAAGGGACAAGGTCCTAACTTCATGATCTGGAAGAGAGAAGAATACGCTTGAGGCCACGTGAGCAGCCACGTGGCCACGTGGGTTCAAATCCCAGCAGCCCTTCCTCCGGAGAAAGATGAGGCAGTCTGCCCTGTAGAGACTTACACTCAGGGAGACACTACGCAAGCAGATCGACTCTGTCCTGCGGGGTCACCGTGAGTCAGGACAGACTGGACGGCAGGAGAGTGGTGCAGTTTGGGGGGCTGTGCCTCAGCACCAGCCCCCATTAGCAGTTCACCAGAGGCCGTTTTCCTCCTTCTTTTCATGGAAGGAAAGGTGTGAGGGTGGGTGGGGGCGGCCTGCCTGCTCAGCAGGTGAGGGAGGCGGGCAGTGGACAGGAGCCTGGGTGTCATAAGGAGCCTTTGGAGTCACAGGCCTGGGTGTCAGGTGCCCCCTGGGTCTCGGACAAGCTCTGCGAACCTTCTGGGCTGGCAAGGCCTCAGGCTGCCACCAGGCTACAATGAGACGCTGTGTGGAAACGTACACCCTCCCTGTGTCTACATATGGACAGGAGCTTCTGCTGCAGGGCCATGCCAGCTGACCCAGCCCCACCACACCGAGCCCCCGCTCAGCCCCCGCCGGGTGCTGCTGTCCACTCCCCAGGCCCTAGAACTGTCTGTGGAGACAGAAGGGCCGCCGTGGGGCCACACTCCAGCCAGGGCTCCATCACATATTCCCATTGTTCTCGCCCAGGCTGGACAGAGCCGTGGCCAGTGTCCGAGCCACAGGGCTCCGACAGGTGACCCAGCGGCCTTCCACCTGGGCCAGGTTCCCTTTCCCCCGAGAGACCCTGCCTCCAGCCCCTCCATCCACCCAGTGTGTGGAGTCTGCAGGGCCTGGCTTCACGCCACTGGGCGAGTGGCCTCTCGGCGGCTCTCTGAGAGGCCGAGGTGTCGGCCCAACCGCTGCTCAGTGGGGTAAAGGGCAGCAGCAGGCCACCCCGTAAGCGTGTCAGGGCCACCAGGACCCCACCCTCCTCCTGGGACACCTTAGGTCTGGAGTGTGAAACTAAGTCCTAACGGTCTCACGGTCTCCCACTGCAGCTTTGTGGGGTCGAGTCCCGGGCCCCAGGCGTTCCACATGTTTTGCACGCCTTCTGCTGGGGCAGCTGAACCTGAGTGCCTCTGGATAGAGCGAAGCTGCCGCCACCTCCAAGTGATTTTAACAAGCGCTGAGCTGTGCTCTCACAAGTGGCTGGAAAATGCGTTTCCCCAGGGTCACTCTGCTCTCACTCGCTCTGCCCCCCACCCCCCGCTCCCCCAGCTTGTTTTATGGTCTCCCAGGACCACCCTGTTCCCCACCTGGTGGCGGGGTGGCTCCAAGGACAGGATTCTGGAGTCCTGCCCAGTGGCCTGTGGCCACCGCAGGCTCACAGCCGTATAATGGGGTGGCAATCTAGTTACTCCAGCTCGCCATTACGTCAGGAAACCCCCCTTCCCCAGAGGCACACCCGTGGCCGTGGAAGTGACTCCTCTCAGGGGCACTGGACCCCGTGGACCCTGACGGCCACGCCCTCACCCAGTCCTCACCACAAGCCTCGCAGGCAGAGGGGAAGCCAAGTCCGAGAGGAAGACCCAGTCCAAGGCCACACTGCACGGTGCTGGCAGCAGCTGGCCCCCAGGGGCCCCTGCCCACGACCTCCATCCTCACCTCCCACCTCCTACAGTAAGACCACTGGCGGGGGGACAGGGAAGGGAGGGGGAACATACTTTTCCACCACGGTCCCTATACTCAGGCACGCTTCTCCTGCAGCCTCTCTGAACGCCGGGTCCGGGTGGGCAATTTTCACAAAATCGGCCTAGGAAAGGGAGAGAGAACAACGGGCAGATGGTGGGCAACTTCTGGGGCCAGAGAGTTGGGGGGGCACGGTGCCACTGGGCTTGTCCCGAGCGTCTCCATATCAGAGTGCTCCCTGAATGCAGGGAGCTGCCTTCCCCAGTGAGCGCTTAGTCCTTGAGGGCAGGCGGCCCCTCCAAAGGAAATGCCCTGCCTGACTGTCCCACAGCTCGTTCCCCTTGAGCGGGGACTGACGTCTAGAGAATGCTCCCCAAATCCATCAGGGTGACCCAAAACAGGAGATGCCGCCCCACAACGTGTGTGTGTGTGTGTGTGTGCTGGAACGGCCAGGGGGGGCTGCAAAGGCAGACACCCGCTCTTCAGCCTGCAGGATAAGCTCCCGTACCCACACTGTCATTGCCAGGGGCTCAGAGTCGTCTTTTCCTGAACAGGGGCCGGCATCCGTCTGGGAACCTAGAGTCTATCCACACACTGCCATTGAGTTGATTGACTCAGGGTGATGCTATCGGGCAGCGCAGACCTGCCGCTGAGTTTCTGACTGGAAGCCTGTTCAGAGTCAAAAGCCTTGGAGCACCTAGTGCAGCGGTTCTCAACCTGTGGGTCTCGACCCCTTTGGGGTTGCCCAATTCCTAACAGTGGCAAAATTACAGCGATGAAGTAGCAATGAAAATAACTTTATGGTTGGGGGGCTCACCACAACACGAGGAACTGTATGAAAAGGTCATGGCGTGAGGAAGTTTGAGAACCATAGACCTAGTGGTTTCAAACTGCTGACCTTGTGGATAACAGCCCATCTCGTAACCACTATGCCACCAGGTCTGCCATGAGGAGAGGGACAGATGGAGGTTAATTCTCAGCAGTGTACAGAGAGGCCTCGTGTCTTCCAGGCAGCCCCTTACCAAGTCAGCCACTTGGCACAGGGCGTCCGAGAGCTCGTCGAAGATGAGCACTGTCTGCGGCCCCGGCGGGGTCTGGCTCGCCAGCTCCAGCAGCACCTCGGTCTTCCTCAAGGCTTTCTCTTGAGCCACGCGGAATCCTTCCGGGGCGCTGAGCTCTGGCACTCCAAAAAGGCCCTGACGTCCGAAGGAGAGTTCCAAGTGTTAACCAAACACGGGGCGCGCGTTAGCACGGGATAGAAATACCACTAGAAGACTGGGTTAGCTGGCTGGCCGGAGGGAGACGGGTGGGCTCCCTAAGACTAAGGACCCTCGGAGCTGGAACTGGACTCACCCCCGAGGCTCAAGTTGCAGCCAAACAATCGCACGGCCATCACAAGCTGATGCAGATTCACAGCAGCTCTGCGGGACACGGTAAAACTGCCCTACTGGTTTTCTGTTGTCGTAACTCTTTATGGGAGTAGAGAGCCCCATCTTTCACCTGAGATGGGGCAGGTGGCTTCTAACTGCTGCCCCTGCAGTTAGCAGCCCGGTGCGTGACCACTACACCGCCAGGGCTTTAGCCACACAACAGACAGGCATCTGAAGGGGCCAGGAACACTAGGGAGGTACGCACCTTAGAGCCACCAACCACTGGAGATCCAGAGGCCAGCGCGGGCCCAAGGACAAACTCTGGGAAGCGGACACCGGAAGCACAGGGAGCAAGGGCATGGGATCAGGGACGGGGCGCTGTGGGGTGGCAGCGGACTGGTGGAAATGAAAGGCATGCGAATTGAATTGTGACGCTGATGGTCTACGCTGTCAACCTGCACTCAATTCACAGTCACGTGAAGCATACAGATGTGCTCCCTGTACAGAATGTCTGATGAAGTGGGGGGTTCGAGTAATTAGAACTCCTGGGGTCACCGGCATCACTTTCCGATTCCCCAAAGCAATGAGATTGACAGGAAACGGCCATGGGATGAGATGGGTTTAGCATCCAGCCCTGGCACGTACAGGGCCCAGCTCACACAGTAGCTGTGAGGATTCAGTGAAGAACCAAACCCTCAAAGCCCACTGCCACTGAGCCGATTCAGACTCACAGGGTGCCTGTCTAGGGCTCCCGAGTAGAGAACCTCATCTGTCTCCCAAGGAGCAGCTGTTGGATTTGAACCAACAACCAAACCACACAATTAGCAGCCCAGTGCATAACTCCACAGTACCTCCAGGGCTCCTGTACCCAAACCAAACTCACTGCCAACTCAGAGCGACCCTACCAGACAGGGTGGAACGGCCCCTGTGGCCATCCGAGACTAACTCTTAACGGGGGTAGAAAGCCTAGTCTTCCTCCCGCAGGCTCCTATAAGACACATCAAGAAAACACCCCCATCAGTACCCCGTGGGCACATAAAAGGAATTTAGTAGGTGTCACCTACAAGCCTTACTCAAAAGGAGGAAGGGGCTGTCTGCTCCCGTGAGGATGTCCAGGGTGGCTCTGGGTTTGAATCGGCTCCGTGGCAGTGGTTTATGGGTAATCTGGATGGGAGCAGATCAGCACCTGGTCTTTTCTTCCACACTGCCTGTGGGTGGGTTTGAACCCACGGCAAAAAAAATCTGCCACTTTCCTTCATGCACTGAAAATCACGATGCCCGGAGAAAAGGAGGAGCTAAAGTGGGTTCTATTTCACCCACCAGTAAACCAAGGTGCCCCTCCGTTGCTTCACCAGAAAACCAAGGTGCCCCTCTGTTGCTTCCTGCTAAATGCCTCCCTGGTAACTGTTCTCCACCTCAAATCCTCTGCGTCACTACACACATTCTATACGCCAGAATGGGGATTCAGGCCTCATCCGTTTCATTCCGAGCGAATTTAAAATTAGATGAAGGTAAAATTAAACGCATCATTTAGCTCGCTGCCACCCTACACCGGACCCCTGAAAGGACGGGGCAGGAGGAAGACACTTATCAAGGTGGAAATAAGTCACCCTTCACCACCCAGAGAAGAATGGACCGTGCTGCTGTCGCACAAGAAGAAAACCAAACCTAACTCGCTGCCCACGCAGCCTCATACCGACCCCCTGTGGGCTCCGACACTAACTGTTGGCAGAGCAGAAAGCCAAGTCTCATCCGCAGAGCTGCTGCTGGTGTCCAACGGCTGCCCATGCTGCCCAACGCTTAACCACTAGGCCACCAGGGATCCTTGAAGTGGAAGGGTGTAGTCCATTTCAAGACCCCCCTGCCCTTGCCCTCGTATGAAGCTGGCCTTCCTTTCTGCCTGCAATTCGTTCGACAGATGACTAGCCTGCGCCCACCGATGGCCACGCGCGCTGTGGATGGGGTAATAGGGCTCCAGTCTAGGGGCTCCCAGGCGTGGGGGGTGAAGAAGACACGTGGCCCTCTCCACGGCACGCGGGGAAATTACACGTCTCTCCGCAGCTGTCCGTTCACGGAGGGGTTGTGAAACGAGACTCAGGGGTGGCATCTCCCGTGAAATTTACTTTTGCAGCGCTGACAGTAACTGCGGTACTTGCCTCTCCCGCCAAAAAAAATACGAATGAAAGACAAATCTGACACCCAACGTGAAATCACCGGGCACCGCAGGGGCCGTGGGAGCGCGGGGACCCCACCCGGGGCAGCGGTCCCTGCAGGCCTCTCTGCCCGGCTCCCTTAGCCACGCCCGGAGGTGGCACCGCGCACGTGGGTACTGCCCTGCGCCTCCCGGGCCCAGGCCTCCCGCGGGCGCCC